TTCCAACAGGGATGCTCCCCACGTTGAGGACCTTGCGGGTGATCCAGTTCACACCCTGCATCTTGAGGATAGAGTCATATGAGTCCGAGAGGTGGAGGTTCTGCAGGGAAGGGTGAACTTTTTTGTTTTCTTTGGGGGAGCTTGTTTGCAGCTTGCTTTTTGTCCTTGCCATGCTCCACCAGCCGGTGAGATCATCAATGGTGATATTTCGTGGAGCCGCAATTCCAATTTGATTTAACTTGAAAGTTGAGGTAAACGATTTAAAACCAAGATAGACTTGTTGGATATTGAAAGGACTCGTAAATTGTGAAGTAATTGGTGGTTGTTATGATTTCTTACCCGGTGCACAGACATACATGTTACATAAATCCATTCCATTGTATTTCCTGTCGATGCTTTCCGAATCGATACAATTCGGAGCTCACGATGGTGAGGCTGAGCAGTGACAGGGTATCCGATTCTTTCTTAAGGTGGGGTATCGAGACGGTTGAAGACCAACACGGCCCCCAAGAGGAAATGTACGTTCGCGTTTACTCTTCGAACAAGTCAAACCTCATTAAACAAGCTTTTATCGACCCACTGACATGGACCCTGGTGTGGAATGAACAACACGAACCTAAAACGGTACCGGCAGACCATGCAGTCTCGTACCTAGGTAGGTATAGGGTGGTGGAATGTGGCTGGTGATGATTGTCATGCATATTTTCCTATTTGGGCAACCAGCACTGCAACCATCCTTAGAACTCCTTATGTTGTACTCCGTAGCGGTAGCGCCTACAACAATAACCGTCTCCACCTGGACACCTGCGTAATATCGCCGGTTTAGGTAACCAGAATATCACAGCCTTCTAAAGTTGTAGTCTCACTTGAAAGACTAACCCTGACCACTATAGGGCCCAACATACAGTACCGTAAGGGGACTGTTTTCTTTAGTGGGCCGGAGGTACTATCACCGTAAACTTCATCGGAGTCACCTTCCACTTAAATTCGGGTTAATTTTGACTTCCAAAATCGCAGCCTACGTAAGCATCACACGATGGAGAACTCCGTAGAGTGGAGAGGAGAAAAAAATGATCAGGCGGAGCAAGTGGAGCAGCATCGGTAGACTGCCAATAAGAGACGCGGAAAAGGTATAGCCTTCTTGTAGGCTTGTCATTGCAGCGAATAGAGCGAGAAAAAGGCAGCAAAAATTGGAGTTGTCCTAGATTCCATCCTCCAAACGGAGTACATGAATGAATATGAAATTCATGAAAATTCAGAGCTTAGAGAGGTGTAATCTTTGATCGATGGGCTGTGCAATTCGGCCCTGCTTCTGTGCTCAAATACATTGCTCATGTCTCTATGGACAAAATGTAACGACTGATGGAAGGAAGATAGAGAAAAAGACCAAGAAATTTATAAACTGCGCCTCATAGATGGTCGGCTTATAGACGGACAGAAGCTTTTCACTCCCATTGACAGTATACCTCTTCAACTCAGCTGCACTGACGGCTTTATCTCTTGGGGGCACTTTGACCCTTACTCCAAGGTTCTACTGCAGTAGGCGATGAAGATGTTCGTGACCCACACAACTCATTAGCATCACCCCCCCTCGGCGTCCGCAATGCGCTCCGCGGATGGATCGTTCGGCAGCGGCGCGAAACGCACGGTCGTATACATAATGGTGATGGCAATAATCTCCATGAGGACATCCATGACAAGATAGACGGTGTTATTGCCATTAATGGAGCTCCACAGTTCAGCCCCGGTTAAGTCGCCAAGGGCGCTGTAAAGCAGACGGACGAAGACAAAGGGCGCAGCGAGCCCCACGATGGCTAGGATGCGCACCTCACTTCCAAGAATAGCACGCTTGGCAGGATGGCGTAGTACGTCTTGCACCAAAGCAAAGTAACCGACGAGCATCAGAGTGAAACCGGCAAGGAAGAGGGCCAATGCGGCCCTGATGAGACTGTTGAGGTGGATGTCGTCTGTGGTTGCAGCTTTATGGAGAGCCCTATCGGTACCGACGATACCTAGAATCAGGCCCACCAGGGAGAGAAGTGAGATGCAAATCGCAGCCTTTTCAGGGAATACGTTTGCAGTTTTGTTCCTGTTGCGTGGTGAATCAGCACAAAGTCCGTGACAGAAGCAATTCTTTGAGATGAATGTACTTACACACGACCGACAAGGGCAACGCAGACGAGCATGAGGGGGGCCAATCCGGAAAGCTCACAGACGACGACGGACATCATGACATGAAGACCAGGATTGCTTAACGACACAAAGTAGGAAATGCTACCAGCTACACGCAGCAAAGAAAGCGTTGCAATAAAGCGCCATGTGCCTGCAGCTTTTAGGCCATGGTGGAAACAAAGCCAAATGGCGTAGACGGCGGAGGGCACAAAAAAGATGAATTGAACTATGGTGATGGCGGTGCGATATGATACAGTCATTGCGGCTATTAACGGTCGCACGGGTGGATAGAAGAGGAGGGAGGGAATAGAGATAGGTAAAAGAAAGTCACACATGGCTCATGAATTATGGTGATGTGAAGGCATCTTAAGCTTTAGAGGTTCACAACTGCATCCCATGAGCGTACCTATTTACAACCTATTTACAACTGCATACCTTAATGGGACTAGCGTGTGGTAATCCTTGTGGTTCCAAGGTTCAGCCCTGGAGTGATCCACGGGATCAGAGGCTCCGGTCATTGATTATGTCAGACTCTGTAACTAACTAGTTCATCTTCGCGCAGTTGATTGAATAGTGGGTATGGAAGTACCAAAATGTAATTTTCACTATGGGGGATCAAAATTAATTGTAGGTTTATGCGGCACCTTGCTAAACCACCGTACCATTTCCCACCTAACCAACACGCAGAGTTTTCACCACATTATTGCAGCCCAAATAAGTTAGAGACTTCGATCGGAAACAATTGATTCTATACTCTATATTATACAGCATTTAAATTTCTTTTTCAGAACTAAATTATCCCTACAAGTAAGTGGTGGTAGTAAAATTAATTTAACAAGCTCCGTGCTGCCAGATCAGGTGATCTTTGGGTGGCTTCACAATGGCAGATATGCAGTCTTCATATTTATAATTTCCCGGCACTTTACCATACAAAACAAGACTTTGAACATAGTACACAGTCAATTTGACGCTGACTATATAGGGTATGACGGGTTGTCCTTTCGGTGATGGAGTCGTCCTTTTAAACGCTCCTTTAACGCTAACCATTGAAGAGGGGAACGCTCAAGGCAGTATGCTCTCAGGCATACTGGTCGACTCAGCCCTCGCGGTTCAGCTTCATATCCAACTTTGCATACAAAAGAACCCAAGGGTACTGACCAAGAAGCAAATTGGGAGAAGTGCAGGAGTGTGTTTTCTCAATCAGTATATAACAAATCTGTGTCTAACTTACTACCTGCATCTCTCGCTCTCCATGCTTAAATAACGATTATTTAGATTAAAAGAAAGGACAGACAAGGTCAATCCGTAGTGGAGGGTAGAGTCCTCCACTACACCGTGTATTATGATATGACATGAGTAGTATTTAACACGCATGTACAATTCAACTAAGTAGTAGATTGTGTCTATTCCGATCGAAATTCCGCCACTTTGGATAACTAGAACACCTCAAAAATCTGTCGGTTGTTGATGCATTTGGTGGCGGAATGGAGATTAAGAGGTCAGGAAATAAGGCAAATTTTTCACTTCAGGATCGATGAGATATATGTAGGGTATTCGCTGAACAAAACACATCTCACAGAACCTAAAAAAAGGTCGATATTGGTGATTTCAAATAGACAACGCTTGGCTTGTCGTGCATCGAGCAAAATATGCCCTAAGTCCATTTTTGTACATTAAAACATGGGTCTATCACGAATTGTAACTGGTTTTGTTATTTGTCTCCTTATCGTCACAATATTGGAACGACGACCTCTCGCTTGATATCCGGTAGATTTCTGTCGCTGTTTACAAACGACCAATACCCGATACCTACGTACGTGCATAGGTAGATTTCAACACATGCAATTTATAACCAAGAACACAACTATCTCAGTGGGCGGGAAGCAGAAAGTCGCTCGGCGGCAGCATGGCACTAAGACGACCAACATCCTTCTCTATCATGTCGGCTAGAAAGGCTGCTTTCTGAATGCCCGTCTTAGAGCGGATAGCACGCAGGCGGTCTACAATCCAATCACGTGTCTCTGGTGTGTTGCTCGGGAGGCTTCCGGCAAGGTACAAGTACCAGACAATAAAGTACGCGCCCGAGGCCGGGACCAAGCGCGACGGGATGCCACTGGTGCTGCAGTCCATGTACGAGGCGCCAGTTGTGGCTTCATGCTGGATGAAGCCAAGCATTTGAGGTACAGACGCGAGGATATCGTCGCGCATTTCTGTCGTCGTGTGCAATGTCCTCTGTAGCAGGCTCGTATAGACGCCACCATGTGAGATATCGTGCGGTGCCCATGCAAGTCCCTCGCGTAGCAATAGGCAGTGGACAACCTGGTTCAAGATTATGCGGCACGCACGCATCCCGTCCCATATCTTGGCTATCCACACATTGTAGTAGATATGGTATTTTCCATGGAACACAAGGCGTGGATTCGCCATAGGGTCACTTACCGTCTTGAAACGCCAGCTCACCGGTAGGTCGGCGACGAGATTCTCGAGTCGCTGGCTTAGCTCGGCAGCGTGCGAGAGGAGTGTCTCCCACTCTCCGGCCAGGAAGGGCGTCTCATGTTCTGGTTGCACTTGGATGTACAGATTCATGACCTCGATGTGGATAGTACTTAGTATCCAAGACGGACTTTTGCTATTGAAGTTTCGCTCCATCTCGGCGCGCAAGTATCGTAGACGCGGCGGCACAGGCTGGTTGTATCGCGAGCATAGTGTGAGCACGTGGGAGACGGCCTCGCCGAAGATCTGAAGGCCCTGCTTCGTACGGAACTGGGACGTGCCGCGAAGCATCAGCAGGCTGGCAGCACCGTTGATGTGGCACTTCCACGCCTCGAGAGACTCATCCCCCGAGCAGGTGATGCTTTCAAAGAGTCCTAAAACCACAATGGTGAAGATGGCGCTGTCATTCTCGGCCACGCGGGGATCCAGAAGCGCCACATTGACCCTCTTGATAGCTTCCGTGTAGCTGGAGCCCGCCTTGCGCATAACGCTATCGGTGCCCGTGGTGCTGGCCAGCCCGGCGAGGCCTACTGCACGGATCGCTACGCGTGCCAGCTCCGCGTCTCCGCCTGGGCCGGCAAGTATGTTTCCGGCGTAGTTGAAGACGCCGGGGCACGGCCCAGAGTCTTTCAAGACATAGTTAGCCATGAAGTAGTTTATCCCTAGCTCTTCGAGGCTCTGAGAAGGCACCGTAGAGCATATCGGCATCGATAGAACGTGGCCATCCAAGTCGAGGCTCGGCGTTGAAGATTTGCCGTAGGACGACGACAATAATACGGGCATAATCTGGTCTGGCTCCCATAGAGTAAATGTGCCGTCGACCAACATGTCCATCTGATCTGGCAGAAGTGGGCTATCGTCGTTCGTGATGTTATCAATGAGATTTTCTACGACGTCTGTGCATGCGGGTGCAACGCTGTCATTGTAGTCCTTTCCATTTTTACCTTGCTCCTCTTCGTGGGGAGTTGCTAGGCAGTGCGGGTGGTTGTCGTTGTCGTCGTACTGCGTGAATCCGCTCGCCGAGTCATTATACAATAAAGCCGGTGGTCTTAGCCCCACCAGCGACTGCTCAAAGGAGGCGGGTGACAATTTGCCAGATGTGCATTGGCTAGAGGGTAAAGTCGTACGCCGTGTCTTACGAGTGCGAGCGCGGTCGATGACCCGGGTCGTCTCGTCGCGGAAGATTAGGCTTGATGCATCGTGGTAGCCTGGGCATTTCTGGCCTTTCCGACGGCCTGGGATGTGGGGGAGACGCGGTGAGTTGTGGGGGCTCGTATAGAATGAATGCGGAGCGGGGGGACATTGCAACATACACTGTCCGCAGGATGGAACCGCTTTGTCGCACTAGAAGCAGCGGCTGGTCAGTGATGATACGACGAGCCATATGTGATGAACAAGGCACGCACTCGTCTTTTGCTGGTGCGACAAAGGGCGCAACTCGCCGAAGGGCGCCCGCAGTATACCATGGCTGAATCTCGATACCTTTAGAGCGAGCCCAAGCGAGCAAGGCAAATACTGTGGTACAATACGGAACGGTATGGCCAGGTAAAGTAGCAAAGTCGGGCTGTCTTTCCCCAGTTTTAGAGTCGGTGTATGTGCCGCGCGGGCGCTACCTAAATTTTGTGATTTAAAGATCTGGCGCAAGTGGGTGGGGCAAGATGGACTAGATGTGTCGAAACCAACGGTACTACACGGAGTGCATGGTTGAAAACTGGGTGGAATACCCGGAAAATCCACGGACCGCTATGATGGTGTGGCTCACATGAATTGCTGTGTTAATTTGAGTCAGCGTTGTCCGCATAGATTGGGAAAAGAGCGGATTTTATGATTTGGTTAGTTATGTTGTAAAGAACTTGGAGTATTTTTCATATCTATTGGTAATTTCATACAGTGTTGAAACCATAGATTTCTTTCAAGAAAGACCAAGTACGGTACGGCAGCCGATTTGCACCAACGGATCTCGGATTTGAGACCTGGCCTCTGATTGGTCGAGAGAGCAACCGGTCACATGACCATGGTAGGATCAGTCATGTGACTACGGGTTCGTGCTTATGGAATCCCTAACGGATGTTGGGGCCTTGTATAACTAGTTACAACATAACTAACTACATGCCGCTGCCAATGACCAACAGATGTTCTGTTTGTCCTCATCATCTTTTAGCCTAGCGGGTTAATGGTCTTGTGTAATCTATCAGGAGTAGCGGCCTGATTTGTCTACGGGATTACACTAGGCTAGCTATTTCACTAGGTGCTAAACTAGTCTAATCCCAGAGTGTGGAGAACCCAGGTATACATAATGCACCACTGCAACCAAGTCAATTTTCCATGAATTGACTTCGTTATGACCTTTTGGTCTAATAGGCAACTGATTGGAGTAGTAGTGGCCGGCGGATCTCACACGAATATAGCAATCTACGTTATTTATCTGCTTCTGGAGAGTTAACCATATGTAAAGCTGGTAAATACTACATTCAGGGGGGGTTTTGGGTCTGTGTTTAGCAAACTGCTCGAAGCGGCTGATTCACCAGTTCGGAGATCGCGCCTTCCGAGACACACCACACTACAGCATGATGTTTTGATGTTCGACAAAGCTAGGATTTGCCTGCACCGTGACTATTATAATTGTTCCCACTTGTGGTCTCGTCTTTTCCGACTTACATTCTTCGGGAAAATTACTCGAAAGTCGAAGGCAGTATTTGGCAATAGCAAATTGTGCGTATGGTGCAGGTTCTATCATCTAGACGGTTGCTTCGTTCGATCTCGAAAGTCAGGTTAAGAAAAAGCATCAAGACACTTTTCAAGTACAATAACAAAATCGGTCCTTTTAACGGTCAATTCTCACCGTTTTATTTAACCTTCTAGTCAGGCAAAATTCTCTGCATGGCGCTAGCCATCTCTTATAGAAGAAGTTCAATCGTTCGTGAAGGCTGATCTATAGTGCCGTCCTTTATAGCTTGTGCAAATATTCTAGTAGGCTTATTGGCGCCAGAGCTATTGTTTTTTTGCGCAAGATAGAAGCAAACCCCGCTAGGCCGCCTAGGGTAACTAAACATTTTGGACCGATGTACCAACATCGACGCCTATCAAGAAACTAGCAAGCTGTTACCCAAAATTTAATGGTAGCTTGGAAATTCGGAATGTATGTCCGATACCCCATCATACAAAACGGGTGGGGTTGCTTTCGAGGGCCAGAACTTGAGTGTTCAACCGGGAAAATTTATCGGTCTTATTAGCAGCTAGCGGATTCAGGATGAACACCATGATTATTCTCATAGAGGGGTTCTTTGACCCCGAAGCTAGACAGGGATTGCATGATAGGAAAGTGACTACCAAGTTAGTTGTCTAGTAATACAGGGATTAACTTGTCCTAGTTAATCAAGAGCCAATGCTAACCCAAGAAATCATTAGCGAGAAGAATACCTAAGAAACAAACGACGTGGATGGTTTCGAGGAGAAATCACAAATGCACACAATGACGCCAATACCCACGAGTTCATCCACTCTCTACTGCAAGTCACCCCTTCCCATTTAGACACTTTTCTACCTTCTGTATTTCTAAAACTTTTGATTATATTGAAACGAATTTATGCTAACTTTCAGCTCAGTGACAGCTTCTCGACGCTCATAGAGGCGAGGTGCGGTACACTCCCGGCAGGCAGCAACAACGAATGTACGTTTCGCGACGGCTTTTTCGCGATTTACGCATTCACCTCCTAGATGAGGCAAATATACACTGGACTTGGTGTTTGAAAGGTCGCTCATGATGCTCTGAAGGCGGCGGCTCAAGGCCGAAAGACGGCCACCGTTGAGCATCGGATAAGTATTGTGCAAATGTTTGGAGAGGCTGGAATAGAAAACGCAAATGAGATTCAACATAATAGAGTTGGACATAGCAAAGAAAACGTAAATCATGCATGTGATCGAGATTAAATTCATGAGGCAGTGCTCCGTACGTCTAGATCAGATCCCTTCGACTAGGTCCAACGCTCTTCGTTTCACTCCTTTCTCTCGCTATTTACAAACGCTGTGTCGGTCTATGCACAATATATGTACGATTAAAAAAAATCCCGTAAACACAATAGTAATTGGTGCTAGTCAAGCTTTTAGTCCCAATCGGGAAATTCCATAGTAATCGGAAATTTTCTCAAGGATATGATTTCCGGAGCCGATGGACTTGTGAAGTCTTATTTGTACTCCGAATGATTATTTCCAAAGACTTCTCAGCCACATTTAGTTTACAGGGCAAGGGAGAAGTGAACAACATCACGGCGTCGCAAAGAAAATCTTAGGGATTGTGGTGACATGATTGCTAATGCAGAGGAGGAATAACTAGTTATTTAGTTAACTAGTTATTTGAAGATATGGGCTATTAGATAAGAACATAAAACATCAAAGCATAAGAGTGTGTTGTGGAAGCTTTACGGAGAAGAAGTTAGACGGTTTTACCACAAAGATTTTTGGAGGGGCCCACATCCACTATGATGATGATG